CTTATCTAGATGCTCTACCTTTTTAATTTTCAAACGATGCCAAATAGTTTGGATGATTAATACTTTGTAGTATAATCTGAGGTCTGGAAATGTTATTCTAAGGGAGGGTTCTGTAAAGGATGGGATGTGGAAGAAGGCATTGGGAAATGATAGCGATATGAAGAAAAATAAGAAAAGAGCATAAAAAGGCATGTTAGAAAGACAATTCCTATGTGTCTGTGATGGGATGCCCCTAGATGGAAAAAGAAAACAGGCCTCCATCTCGATATATGGTGCAGCAGCATCAACATAGTAAAAGACAGAACCAGAGAAAGAAAAAAGATACCGAGAGAAGAGATATCTCCTAGCATGGTGATTTTTCTCGGTCTGAGTCTGTTTATTTCGGTGTTGCTGCAATTTAAATCTAGACTGATGCTTGAGTCCTGGGAGAGAAGGAGAAAACTATTGGAGGGAAGGAACTCTGCCCTTAAGTCCTGAGGGGGCCAAAGAGTCGATGGAAGGCACTGCTCTGATCTCATCCCTTGGGTGGTCCTCCCAGCTCCCTAACAGGTTCTGTCTCCCTCCACTGCTCTGCCCCTGGGGGAGACTGGGAGATGGAGGGGGGGTTATTTTGCACTGACCCACCCCTCATGGGGCAGTGATAAATTCACACCTATGCCCCCTCTGTGAATGGGTAAACAGGATACTTAGGTCCATTTCCTTCTTCCCTCCTTTCCTCCCACTCCATCCCCAGGGTAGCTGCCCCACCTACCCACTCCTTTATTCCCTGCCCTATTCCCTCAGCCAAAAGCAGCCCAAATGCCATCACAATGACACCTCATTCCCAGGGCTATGGCCTTCCCGGACACCAGAATTCCCCAAGCAGGTGATATTCAGAGGACGATGAAAACAACCTGAGATGCTCTCTTCATAGGTTGGGATAGCAGGAGTGGGAGAAGAGGTTATCTTTGGGAATCCGACCCAGATCCAGAGAAGGAAGCCGATAAGGAAATACTGGAGAGACAACCAATTAACGAATCAATCAACAAACATTTATTAAGACACCATGACCCACATGTATAAAAATATGGCCAAGAACTGGAAATTGAGGGGACACCCATCAACTGGGGAATGGCTGGACAAGTTGTGGTATATGAATGTAATGGAACACTATTGTGCTATATGAAATGATGAGTATGGGGCAGTTAGGTGGCACAGTGGATAGAGCTCTGGCCTTGGAGTCAGGAAGACCTGAGTTCAAATCTGGCCTCAGACACTTGACACTTACTAGCTGTGTGACCTTGGGCAAGTCACTTAACCCTGATTGCCTCGCCAAAAAAGGCAAAACAAAAAAAGAAAAGAACAAGAACAAGAAAAAAGAAATGATGAGGAGGTGAATTTCAGAAAAACCTGGAAAGACTTACATGAACTGATGCTGAGTAAAGTGAGCAGAACCGGGAGAACATTGTACACAGTAACACCAACATTGTGTGATAACCAACAGTGATAGACTTAACTCTTCTCAGACAACTCCAAAAGACTTATGATGGAAAATGCTATCCACATCCAGAGAAAGAACGATGGAGTCTGAATGCAGATGGAAGCATACTATTTTCTCTTTTTTCTCTTTCTCATGGTTTTCTCCTTTGGTTCTGATTCTTGTTGCACAGAATGACTAATGTGGAAATATGTTTAATATGATCGTACATGTATAACCTACATTGGACTGCATGTCATGTTGGGGAGGTGGGAGAGGAGGGAGGGAGAAAATTTGGAACTCAAAATCTTATAAAAATGAATATTGGAAACTCTCTTTCCATGTAATTAGAAAAAATAAAATACTATTAAGGGGAAAAAAAGACACTGTGCTAGGCACTGGGGTTAGGGAGTAGAATATGATTTCCTTGGTGTAGGGAATGCCTAGGCAAAGAAACAGCCCTTACCACTTGACCTCTACGTTTTGTAGCCCCAGGTATCTGCCTCTGGTGCTGAAAGGCTCTGACTTCCCCAGGATCACACAGTCAGGATGATAGAAGGAAGACTCGAATCCAGGTCTTCCTGGCTTTGAGGATGGCCTTTTATATACCCATTAGAATGTAAGCTCCTTGAAGGCAAGCAGACACTGGCTTCTTTCCCGCTTGTTTTTGGATTTCCAGTGCTTAGCCCAGTGCTTGGTATACAGCAAGTGCCTAATAAATGCCTGTGGGCTGACCAACTGTACCAGGTGGTACTAGAGATGAAAAAACAAACGGTCCTGTCCTTGGGCTTACATTCTATCAAGGGACATTACACATACCTACATGTATGCAAACATAAAGTACCTGCCAAGTAAATGTGGAAGAATCTGGAGGGTGGCACAAATACCAAGGTACGGTGGATGAGAGAAATCTCCTTTTCTTTTTTTTCCCTTTTTTGGTGAGGTAATTGGGGTTAAGTGACTTGCCCAGGGTCACACAGCTAGTAAGTGTCTTGTGTCTGAGACTGGATTTGAACTCACATCCTCCCGACTTCAAGGCCAGAGCTCTATCCACTGCACCACCTAGCTGCCCCAAATCTCCTCCTTCTAGAGGTGGCCCTTGAGGGAGGGAGGAATTCTAAAGATGGGAGGGGGGACGGGAGATGAAATGCTGTGTGTGAGAAACAGTGACTTAGGGTTGTCTATCATCAAGGCCTCTACTTCCTTTCTGACTCTCTATGGTCTGGCTGCTGACCTCACCAGTCCCCTGAAACATGTCTCTCCGAAGCGACCAATGATCCCTTAGTTGCCAAGTCCAGTGGCCTTTTCTCTTTGACTTCTCCACAGCCTTGGACACTGTGGGCCACCCTGACCTCTTTGCTACTCTCTTCCCTTTAGATTTCCATGAAATTCGCTCTCTCTGGGTTTTCCCCTACCTATCTGACTGCTCCTTCTCTGCCTCTGCTGCTGGGTCTTCACCCAGGTCATGCCTCCCACTCATCATTTCTTATAGCACAACAGTATTCCATTACATTCACATACCACAACTTGCTCAGCCATTCCCCAATGGATGGGCATCCTCTCAATTTCCAATTCTTGGCCACCACAAAAAGGGCAGGGTGTCCCACATAGCGCTCTGTCCCGACCCTCTTATTTTCTCCCTCCATACGATTTCACTTAATGATCTCATCAGCTCCCACGGATTTAGTTGCCATCTCAATGCTGGTGATTCTCAGATCTACTTACGCAGCCCTAACGTCTCTCCCTGAACTCCATGCTCACATCTCTAACTGCCTGTTAGATACCTCAAACTGAATATGCCACCGGCACCTTCAAGTCAACATATTGAAAACAATTCGTTCTCTTTCCTCCCTTCTGAATTTCCCTATTACTATGAAGACCACCATCATCCTCCCAGTCCCCCGGCTTCACAACCTAGGTGCCATCCTCAACTTCTCGCTATCTCCCTCCCCCAATACTCAATCTGCTGCTAATTTTGCCTTCATAGCATCTCTTGCACTTGACCCCTGCTTTCCTCTGATGCTACCGACACTCTGGTGCAGGCCCTTATCACCTCATGCCTGGGCCATTGCAACAGCCTGGCTGGTTTCCCTGACTCAACTGTCATGACAGTTCATCTTCCAATTGGTTGTCAAATTACACTTCTTAAAGTGCAGGTCTGATTATGTCATCTCCCTATTCAATAAACTTCAGTGGCTCCTTATCACGTCTAGGATTAAATATAAAAAATTCGGTTTGCCATTCAAAGCCCTTCACAACCTGGCCCCTTTCAGTCTTCTCACACTTTATTTCCTTCCCTTTCCTCGGCAATCCTCCATCTCCAGACTCTGGATATTTACCCTTGCTGTGCCCCCAGCCTGAAATGCTCTTACTCCTCATCTCCACCTCCTGCCTTCCTGGGCTTTTTTTAAGTCCCAGCTAAAACCCCACCTACTAAAAGAAGCCCTTCCTGAGCCCCTCTAAGGCTAGTCCCTTCCCTTGCTTGATTATCTCCAACTAATCCTGTATATGGCTTGTCTATGCATAGTCATTTGCACCTTGTCTCCTCATTAGACCGAGGTCTTTGAAAGCAGAGATTGTCTTTTGTCTTTCTTTGAATTCCCAGAGCTTAGCACCATGCCAGACACATAGTAGGCACTTTATAGATGGCTGTTGACTGACTTAGAGTTTGTGAAGAGGTATAATGTGTGATGGGCCTGTAAAGATAGTCTGGAGTCCGGTTGGGAAGGACTTCAAATGCCAAACCGAAGGATTTGTATGTGATCCTAGGGGCAATAGGGAGCCATAGCAGGCTTTGGAGCTAGACAGGGATGTGGATAGAGCTGTGCTTTAGGGACATCACTTTGGCAGCAGCAGGGAAGATGAACCTGAGTGAGGAGCAGAGATTCAAGGCAGGCAGAGATACAAAATGAACCCACAAGGGGGAGAAGCACTCCCGAAAGGTAGGGGCTGAGAAAGAGATGTAGAAACAGAGACAGAGAATACACTGAGAGCTTGTTCCAGTCACGTGCCTTTGCTGCCTCGTGGCCAACCCTCCCATTCAACCTGAGCCAGCTCACTCAGCTGTTATTCTCCATCACTGCTCCTCCGATGGGCCGTACCCTGGGCGTTGCTCCCTCATGAGGTATTCCCCTACACACCTTCGACTGAGACCAATAGTTTCTCTCCTCGGGTGCCCTTCTCCCCACCCAGCGCTCTAAATTCCTTTGGTTAGGAAACTGGGATATTATTTGCACTCTGTCCCTCCCTGCCTGCTCCCCAGCTCTCTCTGATTGCAACACAGACATCAATTACAGCTTATTACCTTATCATCAGTTTGGCCGTGAATCACGGGGGGGGGGAGGGCTCTGGGGGCCCACCCCACTTTGTCACCTCCCTCTCCCTGTCAATGTATAAGGAGCAGTGGCTGGAGGAAGATTCTGGGGAGTCGGGGGAGCCAGGGAAAGAAGAGAGGGCCACAGACACAGAGGCAACAAAGACTCAGGGGAGGTGAAGAAAGAGCGCAGTAGAGACAGAGACAGAGAGGAAGGAGAAGAGAGGAGAAGCGAGAAGAAGAGAAAGTGCAAGACAAGAAGAATAAAACCCAAAAGAAAGAAAAGGAGAGGAGGCAGAGATGAAGTTGGAGGGATTGCTGCTCAGTCTTATATTGTCCCTGTCTTTCAGGGGCAGCTGGGGAGCTCCCGTGGATGGTGAAGAGCCTGGAGACTTGGCTGCTGGGGGAAACATTGGTGGAGGGTTAGAGGAGGCTGTCAAACATGGCTTAGGAGAGGCTGCCAAACATGGGCTGGAGGAAGCCGTTGACCACGGAGTTAGGGAAGCTGCTGGCCCTGGGGTTGGGCATTCAATTGGTCACGGGGTGCAGGATGCAGGTAATGCCATCAGTCATGCTGGGAGTTCTGCAGACAAAGACATCAGTAACGCTGGTGGGGCCCTCAGTCATGGAATTGGTGGCCCTCATCGTCCATTGCTGGGGATCCCTCATGGGGCCAGCCATACTAATGTGAGTGGAAGGGAAGAGTGAAAGGACAGAAGGGAGGAATGGTCAGGAGGAAGATGGGTTGTGGGTGTCAGGAAAACTGGAGCAGGGGTGGGGTTCAGATGTCCCCAAGCCCCCATGGCCTGTCATGTTCTCCATCGGCTTCCCTTCTGTCTCTCTTTTATGTGGCTTCTTTCTCGGTGGCTTTCTCTCCATCTTCTTCTCCCAGTTGCACTTCCTGATCTCCCTCCCCAGTCAGTAAAGGACACCAGTTCCAAGGATGCTCTTTTTGCAGGTGCATGGTGGCCAGCCTTCATCTGGAGGGCATGGAGCCTCTGGAACCAGCAGCTCCCATACTGGTCATGGGCTCTTGGGAGGGCATGGAAACACAAGCCCCAGTGGAACTGGCTCTCATGGAGCTCCACAGGGCCAAGGACATCATGGAGGCCTGGGAAGCCACCCTGGGGGCCATGCTCAAGGAAGTCAGGGTGGCTCAGCTGGCCAGGGGACCAGTTCTCAGGTAAAAGAAACCAGCCCATCCTCATGGATCAACCCCCACTAACCAGCAGCCTTCTCAGCCCAACTCCCTCCCTCCACTCCCAGTATTGTCGCCCTAACCCAGACTCCTCTTCTCCACCCATGACTTCAATCTCCGTCTTATTATAGGGGAGTAATTCAGGCAATGGGAAGCCGGTAGAGAGGAGCAGCAGCCAGGAAACAGGGGTAAGAGTGACATGCAGGGAGGAGGCTGGTGGGAAGAGGGAAGTTGTAGCCTGGACAAGGCAGCAGTGAGGGAGCAAAGAAAAACCGGATGAAAAAAGGATTAGGGGAAGAGGGGAAAGCAACGAGTGGAAGAAATGAGAGTAAGAGGCAAGCTAGATGAGGAGGGGGCAGGAAGGAGCTGGCTGTTTGGGGGGAGATGGAAAGGAGGAAGAGAGAGGGATGATGACCTGATGACCAATCTAGTGGACTAGGCTAGATTGAAAGGGATTCAGATTCTGACTTAAAGGTATCTGAACAGCCTAACTCCTCAATCTACCTTTCCTCTTAGTGCACCAACCCCTCATCCTCTGGGTCAAATGGCGGAAGTGCCTCTGGGGTAAGAAGATATGGGAAAACCGAAATCTGTTGTGGGTGTGAGGAAGTCTATCCCTCATCCATTCCAGGCATCCACACAGGAGAGGAGAGGGAGAGGGAGGGACAGAGGATAAACAAAGGCAGTCATCTTGATTTCCCTGACTATGTGTCATTTCCTTTCCCTTAGGGAGGCAGCAGCTCATCCTCAGGATCTGGTAGCAGTGTCAGCACGACTCCAGTCCCTTATGCAAACTCTCCAAAGGTGAGCCTTATGTCACAAGCAGGAGGCTGCCAAATCTTCCTTTGACTTCAGTCCCCTCAGCAAACACCTCTGTTATGTGCAAAGAGCTGGGACTTCTGCCTTTGGCGAGCATCTAGCGTCTTGGGGTGTGGTGGTGATGAAGGGTTGTCATCTGGCATAAATGCCAGCAAAGGCAGATGGAGACTCCAGGGCCAGAAGGACAGAGGTGATAGACTAGGGACTTTGAGAAGGGAAGACTTCCAGGTATTGAGGAGTTTTAAAGGGCAACAGCAGGAGGGGAGAGGAAAGGGGGGACTAGCCTATGAATCATATGATCATGGATGCAGAGAGCTGGGACAGCCCTCAGGCATCATCTAGTCCAACTCCTTCATTTAGCAGATGGGGAAACTGAGGCCTACATGGGGAAATGACTTGTCCAAAGTCACACAGGTTCAAGTGGCAGAGTCAGCCTTTGAACCCAGGTCTTCTACTTCGAAGCTCCCTTCCCACTCCACCCTAGGCTCAGAGGCAGCAGAAGTCAGCCAGTCAACCAAAAAGCATTCGTTAGGGCCTCATCTATGTGGCAGGCACTTGTGTTGCTAAGTGTTGGGGATGCAAAAAAACAAAAAGGCATACATAGTCCCTGACCTCAAGGAGTTTATCATCTAATGGGGAAGCCCGCGAGAACACAACAAGAAATATACAGGCCAAACTGGAGGTAGCCCCAGAGGGAAAGCTCTAGGATTAGGGAGGGGTAGGAAAGGATTTTTGCAGAAGGTGGGATTGAGACTTGAGGGAAGCCAAGAGGCAGAGGTGGGAAGGGAGGGATTCCTTGACAGGAAGGCACTGGCAGCTGCAGAAGGTGGGACTATTAAGGAGGAGGGCAGATATGGCTGGACCACAGTCCCATAACAGGCTGGTGAGAGAGGGAAAGGGAAACAGGTATGCTTCAACATGGCTAGAGACTATATGCTTTGGTCCTGGCTGAGTGGTTCTAAATGGGTTAATTTGCTTCTGCATTCACTCTTGTTCCCCTCCCATCCCACTCCAATAACCCTACTCCAAATCTCTGCCCAGGAAACAAGCCCAGAAGCAACCACTAACATAAACAGGAACAACCAGGTAAGCACTCCAAAGTGCTTCCTGACTTACTGAGCTCTAGGAAGGGGGCGGGGGGGGGGAAGAACAGAGGCTGTTCCCTTACTCTGCTCCCATTTGGTTGGGATCTCAGCCTCCCTACCAAGATCTAACCTAAACTTAAAAGAGTAGCTTGCTATCTAAGTCTCTTTCCCAATAAGAAGCACAGAAGGGAGGCCATACTTTTGCTTTCCAAATGTATTTGTATTCCTTAAGCAACCCACCATTTGAGGAGGTAGGGAAGGGATAGTTGGGGACAGGAGGAGAGAGAAGCAACTGGAGATGAAATTAGTGGCTACCCTACAACTGTAACCTGTGCAGATTGACTCTCACACTTCTAAGTCCATTTATGTCAACCTCAGAATTTTCCCTTCTTTCAGGGGTCTACATCATCATCATCTTCTGGCAATGGTGGGAATAGTGGAGGTAGAAGCACTGAAGGGGTGAGTGTGTGTGTGTGTTGTGGGGGAAGGTCAGTTCAGGCTGGCGGCATAGCGGGAAGGTGGGCACTGGATCAAGGATGGAGGGCTTGCACCTCGATTGGGGCTCAAGGATGGGACTCAAGTCCTGATCTGGGATTTGAATCGTTGGGTTCATTTCCTGTGATTTTACAATCTGGGTCGATAGTGTCAAGGTCTGCCACTAAAGCTTTATCCTCGTTTCCCCTCCCAGTGTGAGCATACAGGCAGCGGAAATCAGGTGAGCTTCACTGACTCCCATCACCCTTCTTTTACACGTGACATACTCTTAGCATTCAATAACTTTATTCCCCCTTCTCCTTACCACTTACCCAAATCTTGTCTTTCATCTCAACCCAACCCCAGCTACAGGGTTTACCTTCTGATCTTTTTACTAGCATTTATAATTTTTATCTTCTTTTTTAATTTATTTTTAATATTAATTTTATTTTAATTTTAAAATAATTATTTATTTTTAGTTTTCACATTTACTTCCATAAGATTTTGAGTTTTAAATTTTCTCCCCCTCCCTCTCCTCACCCCTCCCCAGGACAGTGTACAATCTGATACAGGCTCTACTTATACATTCATGTTAAACATATTTTCACATGAGTCATGATCTGAAGAAGAATTAGAACTAATGGGAGGAACCACAAGAAAGAAAAAACAAAACACCAAAAGAAAAGGAGAGCAAATAGTCTGCTTCCATCTGCATTCAGACTCCATAGTTCTTCCTCTGGATGTGGACAGTATTTTCTATCATGAGTCTTTTGGAGTTGTCTTAGATCCTTAGCATTCACAATCTAATGGGACATAAGATATATGTTGGCATGGAAATAAGTTTAAAATTCATAAAACAATTGTCAGGTACAAGCACTAGCTTTATAAACAGACGAAATCTGTGCCAAGATAAATTTTAAATGTACACCATGGAGACGCTGGTGAACACTATGGTGAAGTCTTTGGCAAAGTGAAGACTATTTCTCCATGCTAAGTAGCTGCCTCTCCTGTTGTGTTTATTTTGTGAATCCCAACTTCGTATTCGTTTTGCTTAAAGCAAGGCACACCAGCCACGAGGGCAGCACATGTAGAGGCTCAGGAGATGAGGAAGGGAGCACTCAGTCTTTAATGAGGTTAACTTTTTTGGGAGATGAGTTCGCCACCAGGATTTATGAAAGCAATCTCCATCCTTGGTCTCTCTTCTTCTCATCCAGGGAAGCAGCTCTCATAACAACGGACAGACTGGACAGGGCTCTGAGAACGGATCTAATGGCTGGGTAAGGAGCCTGGAAACTAGAGGTCCTTCTTCTTAGAAGGAATAAGCCAGGTCATGCCAAAGAGAATGGGGAGTAGCTCTCAATCATCTATGTTAATGAGGGAAGCTGAGGGGCAGACAGTCCTCAAATTCTCTTTCTGGTTTTGGATTGTATTTTGGTCATTTCATGGAACATGTATGTATCTAGTGATCTGGGACTTCTATGGTCTTGAATAAATAATGAGGAAATAATGCACTGTGAAGACCTCACTTGGGAGAAGCTGAAAGCCATCTAGTCGTCCCCCCACCCTTAATTCCTGTTCGCTCCTCACTCTCAGACTGAGGCGAAGCATCAACCTAAGTTGGGCCCTTTCTTCTCTTTCCACCCGTTCTTCCTCCT